ACTAAGAAAACTGTGAACAAAGAAGCGAATGCGATGGCTAACGTGTTAGCGTCGCGGGGTATCAGTGTGAAACAGAAACAGAAGAGCCGTTCCCCGTCGCCGCCTCGCGCTCTGCCTAACTTACCTAACATACCAGGTGTCAGTATAAAACATTCATCAGGAGCGAGTAATTTCTCAATACCAGAAGCTAAGATAGGCGGCGGAATGCTATCCTGTAAGATCTGCAAGAAGATGTTTATGAGTTCGACTTCGTTGTCAGTGCACATGTCGAATGCTCATCCCCAGAGCAAGGTGCCCTCGTTCAAATGCGACGAGTGTCCCGCCTCCTATCCCAAGTCGCTGCAGCTGCAACATCATAAACGTGTGTTCCATAATGTGACAGGACCCGGAAGAGAAATGGGGCTGCCCGTTGTAGATCTATCCCAAGAAGAAAATCTACAGAGGTTGAGCGATTTAGGTATATACAATTTCATTCCGTTAGCGAACCGGGAGCAAGGCAACGGTTGTTTCGGTATACCGGTGATATCAGTTCATAATGTCCAGAATGGGTTGACCAGTGGCCTGCAGGCGCTCGGCGCTGACGGACTTTTAAGTCTTGGTCCTCTCAAGCCATTACCTAATTCATAAAGCAAAAGTATTTCGTGATTTTAGATTTAAGCATATTTTAAAATAAGCAGGAATCGAGTGTGCAACTATTTAAAATAATCTCTTCGTTGACAGTAGGATAAGTATTATCTCAAATAAATTGTAGTCAATATTAATATGGCAACAATATTCATAATAACTTGGTTTAAGGCATGTCCATTTAGTTTATTTTACCAAACAATTCAAGGTCTGTTGAAAATATATGTAAGAATTATATTTTTATTTAAATTGTTCAGCCACAAAGTTGTATAGTTGCTTTCTTAATCTACCCTCGGGTACTCAACTTCTCTTCCAAATGACAATCCGCCTCTGCATGATTCTTGGTTCTCCTTGTTTATCGAAGAATAAATGTTATATACAAGTAAGTTATTGTGTGCTAGAGAGAGAATTATCAAAATACTGATTTGAGTTTAAAGTAATGCTTTGTAATAATGTTGCCAGTTTAACTGTATTTTCTTACTGATAAAGGGAAATTTACAAAATTATGTGGCATTGTCTCAAAATTATGTGATCTAATTGAGGACTTACTAGAAAAACATATTTAGTGTAAATTGTAGATATCTAGCCTTAAGTTTTATTTTTAATACCGTGTTTCAATTTGCTATTGGCAAATGTCTCTTTTTATTTCTTTTTGATTTCAAGCTAGTGTACGAAGGAAAAAGATTAAATAAATCGTATATGGAATGACCAAGTTTTGCGAGTGGCGGCGCTACTGTCGCTAACAGAGCCGACAATGTATGAATAGTTTTAAATTCTCATATTTCGGCTGTAATTCCTATTTTCGCCACGTTTAAAACCTTGGTCAGACTATATGCTATTGATGTTTTTTTTTTCATGGACACTTTACTGTTTCATTTTTGGGCTATTTTTTTACGTAAGTTATTTGCCCGTAGCAATATTTTTTTTCATTTAATTAAATAAACTTAAATACTTACTAAGCTTTGTAAATCGTCGCCAAATGTTTTTTAAGATTTAGGTGTAAGATTAACAAATTTATATTTTGTATGACATCTGGTCTTAAGTTATTCATTTAAGAAGTTAAATTACTTTTTTTTAGTTACAGAATAATAGACATTTTTTTTTTCAATAAAATTGTTTAATGTTTTAATTAAAATTTATATTGTTTTATAGAATTATTGTATTCTACAAGAGATTATTTGATCTAAGGCATTGAATCCAATAATGGTTTAAGATAGTTAAATCCATATCTTGATATCAATATTTTTTCTATTGTTCTCTTGACTTGAATCCCCTAAAGATGTGTGTCATGAACTTTTTTGATTGTATAATAGAAACCAATCTAAATTTCAGCACATCTGAAATAGCTGATGTTCGCTATATTTGTATTCCTATATTTTTAATTGATTACTTATGTAAAAATGTACATACAAAGTAAAAGAACTAAAAGAAGTTCAGATTTATTAATAAAAATATAACCTGAAACAGTTTCTGATTCTATTATACCTACTTTTGTGTTAAGTTTTTTGATTATGGTCCTAAGTTCAAATCTCGCCAAGTAACTATGTTTGTAGATGCATGTGTACAGTCGGCGGTCTCAAAAGCTACAATCGTTTGAACATTTTGAAACGAGACTCGGAACACAAACCAATGCAACTAATGTATATGATTACCCAGAACAAATGCAGTTTGCGGTCAGACAGACAGGACAATTATTTTTTAAATGAGATTTTCGAAATCAACAACGCTATTACGTCATCTTCACGTAATCTGATTTTTTTTCTTTTGATATTACAAATATTATAATTTTGTTATTGTATAGATGTGTGAAACCAATCCTTGAGTCAAGGTTGTGAAATAAAAAGCCAATTTTCCCATAGTAATTTATTTATTTTACCTTATAATCATAGTAAAGCTTATGCTGATAGTATGTTTCCATGACTATTGGTTTTACTAGAAGAAAGACGTAGAAAAAGGTACATTTTGTTCAAAAATTTGAGCTCAAAAATAAAGTATTGCAAAACATGAATATACACTAAAAAAAATGTTTATTACAGTGTAAGTAATAAGTTACTGCTATACTCAGAGATGTTAGTTACTAATATCCTTAGTGTAGATTCAGTGTGAGAAGTATGCTAAACTACTGTATCTAAAACAACTCTGAGTAGCAATTAATTATTACAAAATTATACAAAAGGCTGTTGATTAAGTAATTAAATTGAAAAATGCTTCCGGAATGTTATTAAGTGCAACTAGAAAATGCTATTTTTCAAACCAGAGAAGAGGTAGAAAGATATTGCACTAAACACCTACAAATTATAAAAAAATTATCAAAATTGACTTCCGATTAGTTTTACAAAATTAAAACATCCAGAAAATGTGATGATGTGATTCAATGATTATTCAAGTCGGATTAGCTCAACATCAAAGATGAGAGTAGCGTTGGGTGGGATCACACCGGGGTGGCCCTGTTGGCCATACGCGTAGTCCGGCGAGCATGTCAGCTTGGCCCGCTCACCCACGGACATCTGGAAATGTAAAAATAAAATTTTATTTACATAAAAGCCAAACAGACAAAATAATACTGGCCGCACATAAACAGTCATAAAATATAAAACACTTGCAACTTAGCCCGCCTGGAATTAAAAAAAATAACAAAAAATTTAGCCTATGTTGCTCACAGATAAATTACCTTTCAAAAGGTGAAAGCATTGTTAAAATAGGCCAAGCAGTTTTTGATTTTTTCAATACATAAAAAATACAATTCTTTCCTCTTAACAATATTAGTACAGATAATTTAGTGAATGCTCCATCAATAAACTCTTTTTAAAATATATTAGACAAATAGGATATCTTAAAGCCATTTAACCATGTTAGCTAGTTGTAAATTAATAATAATCCTATTCTTAACACCAAAGTGTAAATATTTTCTCCATTGAGTTGCACAGTCGCAGTAAACTGCATACATTTAATGCTAAAACTCAAAAAATAAAGGGTTCACTAGTTGTGTATTAACAAAGTACAAAATTTCAAATATTAATGAAACAAGAGTATATTCTAGCCAAAGTGTTAAAAGCATTAGGAATACATGGAATTGAGTTTTATTCACCTGAGCGACACCTTCATCCCAGCCTCGGATGACCTCCCCCTTGCCGATCTTGAACTTGAAAGGCTTTCCGCGGTCGCGGGATGAGTCAAACTTCTGGCCATTGGTTAATGTGCCAGTGTAGTGCACCACTACAGTCTGGCCCTTCTTGGGATAAGAAGACCCTAAGATAAAATCACATTTAATAATTAGAATAGCAGTTAATGAGGTTCAAGTCATATTATAACTGCAACAATGTTTCTTAGAAAATTGTGGTTCATATATACAAGACATAGGAACCATTCATATGTAATTATGTAAAAATAGTTCTATTCTGAGATAACAAATAACCTTGACATCTTACTCCTCAGTTTGTCTTGAAAAGTGAATAACATTTATAGAATAATTAGTTTAAAACATTATTGTAAAGAACATTGTCTTCAAATGACAGATATAATGATAACATAACAATCTAATTAGAAATGGGACTAGTAACTTTATAGATTAGCAGCCCCACCTACATAACTTTACTAAGATTCCTGACAAATGGTACATAAAATACCGAAAAGTAGAAATTAAATTTCAGTACAAGGTGGTAACTTACAGTTTGTATGTATTTCAAATAGTAACAAGAATTGTTTTATAACTAAATCTAAATATGTAGGTATACCGCACCCGCGGAAAAATCAATATTTTTGTGGGGGCAATTATTATAAATTCTGTTTTTTTTTATTCCATTAAATATAAATAATGTAAAATTAGCCTGAAAATTCATAATACAAGGATTTTCTTTGCATTACAAAAGTTGGAATCGCAAAATAAGATATGAATATTTAAAGGGTCAATAGGTTTCAAGTCATAGAGAACCCGATAGCTGGGAGCTATTTTAGGTAAATTTTCGGTACTTACCATCACCAGGGGAAAGTGTTTCCACGTTGACTCCCATTGCTTTTTCTTATTAACTAAATCTTATCTGCCAATGCGGTTATCAAATAAAGCCAGACAGAGTTAGCTAAAATGCCGCAGAAAAGGTGTTTCCGGCTTCGGGACGCCGATGTGACGCACAAAGAGTATGTAACTCATAGACAATATATGCAGTACACTTTACACGTGACATTATGTGCCCATTTAGTATTCGCCATTTTGGAATTTCACTAAGAGATGGGACAATGTAGCTCGTATCGATAACACTGGAGTACAACTAAATCCTAAACACGAAATTAAATTTAATTTTAGAGATTTTACCGATATTACGATGATTTTATTATTATGTTTTTATATCACATGTAATAAAATTAAAAGTTTCAGATTTCTTCTTAACTACGAACTTGTTTTCGTAAATACTTTATAGTTTAGCCAAAGAATAAAATGTCTTATTGTTTCATCTGATTAGCTTAGGTGTTAAAGTGTTTCTGTAGTTAAAATTACGACAGTTAATTACTTGGTGTGTATACAAGCATAATGTAAACCCAAGGTAAAAGCATTTCTTTCCTTATAGTATTATAATGTTGCTTATAGATAATTGATCAGCATTGGGTGTCATATGGCTGAATAAATAGATAGATAAAATGGATCTTAATATCACTATTTCTCGAATTTCTTTTTTAAGAAAAGTAGTGCAAGTTTTCTATTAAAGTTAAATAAGAGAAAATGAATAGAAAGTATTATTTATTTTTATTAGGACAAGCCAGCAATTAACCACTTGCGATTATTAAATCAGCAATCGTAACAAGACCAGACTTGAGCTTGCTGAAAATTGATATAATTCGAAGACATAGATAATGAAAAGTTTCATAGACAATAAAACGACAATGACAAATATAAACACTTTATAACAAATAGCTCCATCGTTCATAATACACACAGTGCCAGGCATATATTATTTATTAGATAATTCAAGCATTTATATTGGTTACATTAATTAATAATACTGACATAACACATGATCCGTTTGCAAATCATTTTTTTAAATGAAGATATACAAGCTTAATTTTAATTACCCAGTAATATTACATAGTGGGTACACAGATAGTTTTTTTTAATTAGCTGTTTATAGATTATAAATCATTTTTTGATTAGTAACACAGTGGTACAGAACATCAATGGTTACAGTAATTTTAAATGACTTGTTAAAAACGTTTGCTATTAAATATAATAAGAAATACAAATTGGTGATAACATTTTCGTACAAGATACAAATTAGACTTTTTACAAACTTGCTTTCGGTTTGGACCAAATTATAATCCTAGAACTGTGACTAGAATATGTTAATCTGAATTATTGTGATGCATAATTTGAAATATTGTTTCCTAAACATAATTTTATTGTGTAAATTCTGTCTTAGTACATTAAATATATAAATATAATAAATATTTTTGGCGTTTTGTGCATTTACATTTAGTCTCTACGTATCTTAATGTTTATTATTCTTACACATTTATTATTTATCACAACACCGATTTAGGATTAACCTTTAATTTTTAATTTACAAGAGAAATAATCGTTAATAAACATTTTTGTATGAGGCAACATTGCTATAGTAAATTCAAATTTCATGGACAGGCTATAAACCGTGGTGTATTGTGCCTATTTGATTATTGCCATTTTAGCGCTAAAAGTCCTAATATTCACTAGCGCCACCAACAATAGTTTGCAGAACTAGTGAAGTTAGAATACTTAGTAAGATTTAAATATAACTGCTTTGATAACGGTTAATAATTTTAACGAAAGAAGCCTATCCCTAGAAGAGATAAATTATTTGACAGTTGTTTACAAATTAAAATATGGAGTTTATTCAAAAGAATTTTTCCTTATTATTTGATTTTATAGAATCATTCTTCTGTTAATAATTAAATCGCTTCGTCAAATATATAATAACTCAAATATATAAAATAACATTCAATAGACATAGGAGTTATTACGAACAACTATAACAATAATTACAATTTACTCAAAAACAAGATCTACACTTCGTAAAATTTTTTATCGTAATCATTTTCTTGAAAAGCTGCCATCTTAGATTCGTTACGCTATGTTGTGTTTCTATTTACAAAATTTAGATCTTGTTTTTGAGCAACAAACATTTTACGCGTCGCAGCCTACCTACTACACACATCCAAGCTTAAACATTTAATTACATTGATAAGCAACAACATTTATTTTCGTTTTATATTGTCTTGTTTTTTACTACAAAAATAAACCATTTTATTAAAAATCGTATCAATATAAATGTATTTATTATATTCAGCATTTATTTAAACGGTTTTTATGAATATTGTCGAAAGATTTTAATGTGAATTGTAATTTAGTTTACCACGTTCACTGCATAACCGGCTGATATCGGTCTGACGCTGTACTTAACCTGGTGTGGACGAAAAAAACTATGTCTCTCTCGCTAGTGCGAAACTATTATCTCAGGTGTATACATTACATAAAAAGTATACGTGTTTCCACAAATTTATAGCTATTTAACATATACTAGTGTTGGTAGGTCTAGAAAGACCTGCCACGCACTGACGGAAATATAATTGGGGGCGCATTTTGGCCTGCCGCTGCACCATATGAAGAGTTTAATTTTACTTGCCGCAGTAAACATGTTAATGGCAACATTAATATTTTTCTGTTTAAATATTGCATTCAAATAAACTTATATTATTCGACTAGAAATTAAGTTCAAAGACATTTATTTAACAAGATTATTTGCTATAAAAATGTAACCATTATGTTTAATAATAAATAAAGATTGATACATAGTTATTCTGTGAAAATGACAAGAAGTATCATAATTTAACAAAAAATCTGATTCAAAAATGATATGTAGGAAATTTCTATGATATTCATTCATTTTGTACGGTGGTTTAAAATAGCTAATCTAACAATATTTGGCATTTGATTTGGCATTAATATGGTGTTGATTTTTTAATTGGAATATAATTGGTGTTACCAGTTAATAATTTTGTAGTACTAACATTTGCAATATAAAAAATCTTACTCTACACATTTATACAACATTTTTACTTATATTTCTCTATTTTCATGATTATGGCTGAAATGAACATGATATTGTTTTCCTGATGAAACCCTCTCTGTGAATTTTCACATCTGAACTAAGCGTTAAATCCATTTAGGTAATGGGTACATGTTTCATTTCTATGTTTTCATTTATTAGTATAAAGGGCTTATCATGAATAATAGTGAGAATGTTTACGTAACACCATCGACAAAATTCGTATTAGATTTGTACAGTACCACTACAGGGCGACAAATATCAACATATCTTATACAAATGTCGACAACACTACGAATACGTTTTCGTAATTATCACGCAAACATTCGAGATAGATGTTCTGTAATTTATTTAAACGACTTCCAAAAAGCAGATGGTTCTCTGATTTTTTTATATGATTCTTTTAACATTAACAAATAAAGCTAAGGTTAAACATTCGCCGTTAATAAAATAATTGTAATTCGAAAATGAGAATTTCAATTTCGACTCTATAATATTATTATACAAAACGATTCACTGTTTAATAAAAAAACAATTTTACACGAGTTGACATTACATTGCACATTGCCAGTGTTATTTAGGTTTTTTTTTTTAATACTTTGATTCGTTCTGCATAATATGGAGCTAGCACGAAAAGGAGAAAGCATTCTTAACATCATCGACTAAATATAAGATTTGTCGATACTTTACACAATATAAAATCTTCACATCTATTACGAAATTTAATGACGTTTCGAAGACTTTCTCACTTTTCGTACTAGGTCCCTAGATCCAACCGTCATATGTAAATCGCGAGTGGAGGACGGAGTATTGTATGCTGTTTGTATTTCTTACGGCGTGGAGGGTTCCTCCTCCTGGTTGTGCTTGGCGAGAGCGAGGAGTATCATTGTGAGCTGCTTCCTGCTGATCTTACCATCGCTGCTGTACTCCACACCCTGGAGTATCGTCTCCTCAAATTCGAGAAGATCTTGAGCGTCGTAATCCTGGAAATAACACATTAACATTAACTATAAATAAAAACTACAAAAAAAAACAATAATAGAGTTTTTTTTTACCTTTTTCACAAGCTCGAGTAAATCCTTTAGAAATCCACGTAATTCTTCGTTTTCTATTGAGCCGTTATTATCCTGGAAATCGATAAATGATATTTTAAATATTTTAGGCATTTTAACTTTGAAATGTCTTTTTATTGTGAGTTTACTCTATGGTTTCCTTTTCAAGTATATTTAATATGTGTTTACACTCTCTATCATAAAAAAAGAAAGTACAAAATACAATATAAAAGTAAAAAAAAATATTATAGAATACTAACCCTATCGTATAATGAGAAAACTCTTTCGATGTCGTCTTTTGTTAATTTAGTAGCTCCCTGTAATAATAAAATTGTTGCAACATTAAAAAAACGACAACAACAAAAACAATTAGTGAAAGAAGCGAAAATTAGGAGCATTTTAATTAATTAACGTATATATTAACTATGAAATAATAGAAAAAATATAATATATTCCGAATATAGCGATAGTTAATATTTTTTTTGTACTTCTATTTCAAAATTAAAAAAAAAAAACAAACTAGAAAAATCGTTTTAACAAATTCCAACCAGTGCTGTGGATATTTTATTAAAATTTTAAAAGTACTAATTGTAACTTAAGTTTCTAGTTATTTAAATGTCTTTAAGTAAGAAAATAGCTCAATAATTATGCAGTAGTTATACAATAACGGTGAAAAATAACTTTCGTTAATAATAAATAACGTTAATAAATAACGTTTTCGTAGATAGAATAGTTTTTACGCAAGTGGTGAATTTAGCAGTTATTTATTAATAATCAAGTATACTTCGTGATATACGATTCGAGTGAGATTTTCTTTTATTCATAGCAATTGGCTGCTCGAAACCCGGCTGCCAATCTGTTATCCTATTACTGTACCGAACTGACATTTTCCGTTATTTATTTGTCGTATTGGGAATACTTTTTTAACTCAAAGCCACTACGATTTTTACGCAGTAAAGTGAATTCTAAAGGCATTGTAACACTGAACGCATGATTCTTATAGTCAAGGATTTTTATTTTCTACCCATTTCGCTAATTTTAACGCTTACATTTGAAATTTGCATAGGAACATACATAATGGACTTATAGCTTTTATGGTGGGAGATTGTTATACAATTTACAAGCTATGTGAAATTAATTTCTTACATACTTAATAAAAAATCACTAATATAATATTGCGGTATTATGCCGCTTCCCGTAGTAAAGTTTATAAAAATATACACTGCATAGTTACTAAGCTATGAGGACTCACCTCTATGCCCTCCTAGGAGTGCGCAGTGCGGAAAACAAGCTAAGTGTTAGGACAGACGATAGAGATAGGCAAACAAAGAGCAAGTGCCATGCGTTATTCAAATATTAATTTGTTTTGCATTCTAAAATGTGCTCATTAGATTGAATAGGTTACTTTGACTAGTATAGTATTATTTAATCTGTGCTTTTACTAATTTAAGAGTTGTGTACTCTGTGGTTTGTATTGGCACGCTAGAATTAGTAATTTATTTAAATACATTAGTACTAAAATATAGTAATTAAAATGACGATGAATGATACTTATAAATGTGTAATAACTTTTAAAATAGCTACGAACATCTAGCAAAATTAAAAATAAAGTAACCGTTTTATGGTAACGGTTATCTTTTTATATTTGTGATATTGATCAAAGAGTAAAGAATGCAGAAGATACTTTAAAATGTACCTATTGTTTTAATGGTTTTATTTTTAAATATATTTGCAATAAAATTGATGTATGAAAATTATTATAAAATTATGTCAGCGTCACGAAGCTTAATAAAGTGGAAAATGGAAACGCAAACTCATATCGTGTAAATGAGAAAATTTTAAAGCAAACATGCAGATAAACGTGAGGTTACGAAGTTTTAACTTCATATTATTATGTTAAGTAACAGTTATTCGAGATATTTAAAACAATAAATTCAGAATTAAATTGATAACTGATGGACATGTTAAATGTGTTTCGATATCTTCAATTTTAGCATGTTTTACCTTGAAAACTTGTCTGCACAGGAAATTTTCTTTGACCGGCAGTAACCTGGAATAGTATGAATTTATTATTATTCATAACTGGAAGAATAACTTACGCAATTCAAATATTTTATTCTTTCTTGAGAACTCTTTGTTATTGGAACTCAATCATTATTTTAAACCAAAATCTAACCTTTACTAATTAGTTTTTATTTTTTTTAATTGGCTTTATCGTAATGCGACTTCTATCAGAGTAAATTTATAAAAGCCCTTGCCATATTGCAGAAAAATGTAGGACTAATTTATTTCCGTATATTACGAAGGAGGTGAACTAATAAAGAAGTCGATTGGAACGCTCCCAGCTCACGATTTTTATATTCTTTATTAGGCTACAAATATTTCTATAACAAATGTCAAGCAACTCAAATAACTGGCCACAATTGAAGCTGGAAATTCTAAAATAGTGCTTAATACACTTGTTAATTAACCACCTACTTAAAGGTGTTAACTTGTTCTATTTCCCGGATAATATAAAATAATAGCGTATTGTTCAAAGCTCAATATAGAACATTAATTAAATTTCCCCTCTCGACTTCGAAGAGATTAAAATCGGATCAGATATCGATTCTATATTCACTTTTAAGCTGATATGATGTTTGAGCCTGCAAATTGCCGCGATGAAATATTTTAAATTATCAAGAACTTACGGTTTTCGTAGAGATTTGAAAAAAGAATAAGCCGTTATTCATTCTTTCTATAGTTTACTTCTAGTTGTTTTTTTTAATATATATCTGTTTTTCATAACTCTTTGACATTACCTTCTCGTTATTTATCTGTGTAAGAAAATATCATAGATAAAGCAAGCAAAGAACGGCTAGACTATACTTACTTTGCCATTTCCGAGAGCTGTAGTCTACCATCCTTGTTTGAGTCGAACACTTGGAGCTAGACAATGTAAACAATATAAAATCAATACAATTGTAAATGCAAGAATGCACTACTGAAATCTGCGAGTGCTGTATTTTATAGTAAAGAATACATTACTTCATTTTGCTTAACTTGGGGCAGAAATTGTTTGAATAAACAAATATTTAGACCAACTCACCATTGTGTCTGTATATTCGATGAGTTTATCTTCCGACACGTCGTTGATTTTCTTCGCTTCTTTCAACAAATCTCTAAGAAAGTTCTGGAAACAATACAAATGTTATACACCTACAAGGGTTATTGGCAGTTGGTAATTTTATAACCTAACAATGTCATCTTGAAAGCGAAATTTTGATCAATGAGAAGGCAGCAATTGCACGAAGACTGCCGCCATTTTGTTAATTTTGAAATTAACTTCCACAAAATTGGCAAGTGGTTTTGATTTGTTGGGAGAATTTCGAAAGAAGTTGGGAATTGTTTGCTTATTAGTAGATATAAAACTAGCCGCACTCATGCCACTGTCAAAAAAATACCATAAGATTCTTGTAGGTCATAATGGCATTAATAGGTTCAAGATATATTATGTCTAGACAAGAATACACAAAAAGGCAGGAAAGTGGTGATGACAGTAGTTTTCAGAACGACCAATTTTTATCTTATCTTGAAAGTTATAATTTAAAAATTGATATTTAAATAAGTCATAGAGGTGTATAAATTAAATTAAATAAAAAAGGCACCTTTAGTTCATCAGCTTCGATATATCCACTGCCGTCCGTGTCGTACTCGCGCCAAATCTGAATTAAAACAAAACACAAAAGATATCACTTGTAAGAGCGGGCACACACCTTATACTAAACAATCGCACAACGTTGTGCGATTGTCGATTGTTTCGCAGCCCATTCAACTGTTTAGTTGCACGACTAAAAATCGAGTAGTGTGCACATCCATATAATAGAGTAGCTGTTCCCAAGCAAATTTATCCGCATAACATTATAAAAATATTATTTTATCTTTCACATTTGTCAAATTATCAATTGCAAATGTCATGATGACATGACATGACAAACCTTGGCAACCTTGCTTCCTTGATGTTGGCAGCAATTTATGGTCTCTTTCCCGCATTAGGGCTTTTATCCAAAAAAATTACCCTCTAATTTTAATGGCGTGAAAATATATAGCCTAAAGCGTGACGTAAGTGTAAGGCTTTTTATTAAAAAAGAATTATTCAAAAATATGGTGTAATTGCTGACATCTTAGGCAACAAAGAAGTGTGTGTTTACGCTTTATTGTAATAGTATAGAGTATAGATTGAGATCCCAGACCAGGATGACGACACTTAAATTCTAAAACTTTACTGTTATATGATTAGATAGTACTCGCTTTTGATGTAACTGAATGGCCATTAGTTATCCTGTCCAATGGGGCAGTTACGGGCTATCACGCGCTGAAGTTGGTAAAAAATACACCTAAGTTCACTTATTTTCACAAAGCTGATTTTCACATATGTGTTGAAGAACACTGTAAGGATTACTAAACAAATGCTAGCAGACAATCTCAATCTATGAGCTTATAGGAATTTAAGTGAGACTAAGCCGTTGTGGAATAGTTTATTTAAAGGTTTTAAAATTATGACGTTTATAAGTGAATTAACTAAAACAACATTCTTACCTTCATAAACTCCACACTGGATTCTAGAGGGTTATCAAACCTGAACAATAGCAAGAAGTTTTCCTCCATAGGTAGTAATTGGGCCAGCTGTAAACAGTAAATAATAATCGACATAGGATTTACTCTGTGATCGTGTATTCTTTGATGAAATGGAGAAATTATTTTGCTAAGTCAGAATTGAAATTGATTTTGTATGAATTCGGTTTTTGCTAACTAACAATTTAGTAACAAAACTTTCAAGACCAAGCCAATTATTACGCAAACTACGTTACATTTTCAATTTAATGATGTAATAAATAATAAATTATAATTATGATATTAATTAATAGTAAAGTATGATTGAAACTGCTGAATAATGATGGATGTTTGTTAGAGTTTGTAGCCTAAACGGCTAAACGGATTTCGATAAAATTTGGTGTAGATGCAAAAGGATAGCCTGGAAAAACACATAGGCGACTTACTTTTGTTCTTTTTTACTTTCACGCGGACGGAGTCGCGGTCGAAAACTAGTAAATTATAAATGTATTTCTTGAAATACTTAGTATAAAAAGTACAAATTCTAATTACCTTTAAGTTGGTAAAAATGCAAATGTTATTTTTCAATCATTTTGTTTTCAATAAATTCTTCCTAGATTTTTATTTCTATGATAATAATTGTACAGTAAGTAAGTTTATTTGGGTTTTTATAACTGTAACTTGTACATACCTCTCGTATATCAATTTTACCGTCCTGGTTGTCATCGTATGCCTCCATGAAACATGCTTTCAATTCCACCAGCATAGAGTCTGACACAGCCTGAAACAAATAATTCGATTTCATACCAAAAAATGGTAAATCAATTCTTTCCGTCAAATAGAAGGAAATTTACTGTTATTTGAAACTTTAAAGTCAGAAACACTAGCTTTCGTATAAAAGGAATCAACAAAATCGGTTCCACAGAACTGAAGTTCTGAGTTAACACAAATAAAAAATAGGGTATTGAGAACCTCCTTTTCAAAGCAAAAATGTCATAACTCGTGTTTCTTTGTGTTTTCATTGTTTTTTTAGTATCAAACATCATGTATACATACATGTTTTGTAGCAAATGTTACACCCTATAGCATTTTTCACGTAACACAAAAAGGAAAAATAAAAAGTTAGGTTATGTAAGGTAAAGTGCAAAGTTTGAATCAAACATTAATATTTAAATTTCAAGCAGAACATCCGACTTTAGTGTTCTCAATTCTCAGTCTGAAGTGAGAAACTTTAGTATAGCTAGTTTAGATCTGAACGTGGACGTCAGCGTATAACTTGAGAACTTTACATGCACTTCTGTTTGGTGAAATGTTAATTTTATAGCAAAACATGTTTAAAAATTCCAACTGAAAAACGTTCATTCTAACAATAAAGTTAAAATCTTACTAAAACCATAAATACGAAAGTTTAGATGAATGGATGTTTGCTAGAATTTGTAGCCTAAACGGGTGAAAAGATCTCGATGTTTGGCATAGACTTAGAAGATAGTCTGGAAGAATACACTCACTTTTGTTTCTTTTTAAATCCACGCGGACAGAGTAACGAAAAGAAGACTCGTGTCATGTTCTTTTCAAAATACGTCCAGCATTTAATTAATTACATATCTATTGTATGTTTTCTCTGTATACTGTAAGGGAAAAAGGAGAAGAAGATTACTAATAGGGAGGAAGTCAAAATATTAGTAGATTCATGCTACAGTAATATTCCACTAAATATTTCCATGAAATAAACACGCTATGAAGTGTGAATCCAATACCTAATTACCATTGTTAAATTTTTATTACAACTGACATTATCAAGCTTAACTTGAAACATTGGTTTAAAATTCCTCCATAAATAAGTTTTAATTGTATGGCAGTGCGCCAAGCATCGACCGTTGCTGGGGATTGCGATCGCAATTTGACGTGATTGAGTCTATTGTTACATATATCGAGCCATTGTTCCAACCTCAGATTGCTTTCAATGAATCAATAGATGACAGATATAGTCCACTTTATATTGCTCGTGACTTCGTCCACGTGAAACTATAAATTACTAGCTTTCGCGACTCCGTCCGCTCTATAAAAAAAACAAAAGAGAGTAGCCTACGTGTTCTTCCAGACTATCCCTTACATCTATACCGAATTTCATCAAAATCCATTCAGCCGTTTAGGCTACAAACGCTAACAAACATCCATCTAAACATTCGCATTTATAATATTAGTACTGGCGACGCATTCGTAGGCGAAGTTTCATTAGTGAAGATAGCGCTAATGGACATAAAAGTCTTTACCATACAAATAGTGTTTGACTGTTTTAGGTTACTTTTGGCTTCAATATTCCTTTTAATGTCCAGAACGAAAAGCACTTATCCTTCGTAGATATAAGATTTTTCGGTAAAGCGTTCGTAACAGTAAACGAAAGTCATATATTGCGTGAAATTGGCTGGTCGCCGGACGCGGCGGACTTTTGCGACATCTCGACTGAAAATTCTCGACCGTAAGCTTGATATCATATTTGTACCGAATGAAGCGGAAAATAGAAAAATATAAATGTTAGTCACAAAAGTTAAATACGCAAATAAACAAGATAACCTAACTTTAATTAGAAAAAAAAACAAAACTGCTCGGGAATATTGTTTTTTCTAGAGACGAATTTACTCGAAAACATCGAAAAGGATTGAAGTTTTGTCAGTCGGGTAACAAATGTTTATATTATACTAGCTCTCACCCGCTATTCTGTCTACGTTAAATCAAAAACGTCGCTTAGGTGTTCTTCCAGACTATCCTCTATATCTATGCTAAATTTCGTTCATCCGTTCAGCATGTGAGGCTACAAATTTTAACAAGATCATCATCCATTTAAACTTTCGCATTTATAATATTAATAAGAGTTACTTAGTAATATTAAAAGAAATAAATATTAAATATTTGCAGAGCATTAACCAGTTCTATTACTTTTACTGACATCTGTAGAACGATGTTTTCGCACGAATGATCCGTCCGATTCGTTTCGTAAACCGTCGGTTTTCACATCCGAAGCCTTTGTATGCTATCGACAATCGACCTCTCTTTCATTCGGTTTAAATTAAAAGGGATAGCAATATGTTTCTGTATACGTGTTAAGATGGAAACTCAATGTAAGTAGTACTTAAAGTTATTTATTGTGTTTTCTACACTTGTACACTGCTCACGTTTAAAAGGCTTGTAATGTGTTACCGATAGCTTGTGAACTAAGTTACTTTTGAATCTTAGCCATTTTGACGGACATATTAAACTAAGCGAATTTATTTATTATTAGCTGCGGCTCGCGTCTTCGTCCACGTGAAATTAAAAAAAAGCTCTTGGTAGTCAGGGATAACTTAGCTTTTTAATGGTCAAAGAATCTTTGAAATCGGCCTAGTAGCTTTTGAGTTATTTCAATACTGTTAAGAAAAAAATTAGTACCGTGCTGTAGAATTGGCGCAACTCTAAATTATCGGCATAAGCGTCACGTCCCTAGCTGACAGCTGTCAATGTCACTAGAAGGATGGATAGATTGGCGCGCAACCTGAGTCCTGACGAGAAGTGTTGCTCTGAGTTTAAAGTGACAGTATCAATTAAATAAGTTGTCTAAAAATACATACAAAAAATCAAATAATTCCTTTTTATAATACTTGCATAGTTTGTCTAAACTAAGTCTCTAAAACGGGCAAGCTACTTGCATGGCTACTGGTGTGCAAGTGAGCTTTGCGCATGCTTGTAGCTGGCACACATTAGTATTCTCGGCCTTATATTTCATGACCACAACTCGTATCTCATTTGTTATATTTGTGAATAAAAAAATTATAATATTCTGTTTAGACAACCCTAAGAGGTTATTTAACGTGGGTGTGTTTATTCTGTTTGTGAATTTGTGTATGATTCACTCGTCCCCGCCGGCTCCATACATTAGGTAATTGTTTACGTTGCGGAGCTACGAATTAATTCAAAATACGCTCTCTTCAAACGACTGGTCGGTTAAAAGGATTTCACTTAACAAGAACAAGAGTAAATAACAATATATTCTGCGATGTGAAATAGATATATCTATATCTTTACTAACATTATATAGAGGAAAGATTTGTATTTTTGGATTCTTGTATGTATTGAAATAACTCAAAAACTATTAGGCCGATTTTAATAATTCTTTCTCCACTAAAAGTTACGTTATCAGTGAGTAACATAGACTACAATTTTTCATTATTTTTCAAATTTCAAAGCTAGTAAATGGTGTGTTTCATAAAAGTATGACGTTTTTCGAGACCCGATTTTCGAAATTACATTTTGTATCGTAGGTGTCAACCTTGGAGAACTTTACCCATATACGTCTACGATGCACCATTTTCGCCTCTCTTTTGTACACTGTATTAGTAATCTATAGATTATTAAATCTATGGATATTATTGCCATAATAAGAGAATTTAAGTATCTACTAAGAGCGTACCTTAATGTAGGTTTTTAAACTAAATCCCATAAGGATCTAAAAAGGCAGTACAACGGTGTTTCCCATTGGGTCGATTCGTTCTCTATTCGATCAGCACACCGATCGATATGTGCGATTATTTAAAACGCAACTCTTATTTATTAATCAAGGGAGTTCACAACGTATGCGTATGTTTTCATGTAATTTGTCATGACAGTACCATGTGTTAGCACCGCCCAGAACGGCTTTGGCTTCCCGCCAACATATACATAACTCATTGTAATGGGATATACTGTGTCAACACATACATTTACATAATTCAATCGGTCGTGTTAGAATTAAGGCTGTTTATGATGATTTTATTTAACTTGATAATTTGAAGATTGAAAAAAATTCCCATTGGACCGAAAGAATTCATACAATCAAACGACCCAATGGGATCAACCCCAATGTATTGATCGATCAGTAGACTGCAATAGCTGAGCTGTTGCCTGGTTAGTCTGACTCAGGTAACCAACCAAGCGACCAAGCAGAGGACCAACCAAGCAACCAAGCAGAGGACCAACCAAGCGACCAAGGAGAGGACCAATCAAACGAACAACCAGGCGACCAACCTAGCGACCAAGCTACCAACCAGGAGACTAACGAATCGACCAATAAGGTAAACCCTTTGATGGGGTCATCCGACACTCTATACTATTATAATAAAGCGTAAACACACACTTCTTTGTTGCGTAAGATGTCAGCAATAACAGCATATTTCTGATTAATTCTTTTTTTAATAAAAAACCCTATACTTACGTCACGCTTTAGCCTATATATGTATTGTAAATACTTTAGGTAAAAACATTAATATGGGAAAGAGACCATAAGTTGCTTTCAACATCAAGAAAGAACGATTGCTAAGGTTTGTCATGTCATTTTGACATTTTTTAGTATTGATGATTTGAGAAAAGTAAACAACAAACTAAAATTTTCATAATTTCATGCGGATGAAGCCGCTCGGGAACAGCTAGTATTTTATAGTTAGCCTGTTTATAAAATGGCGAAATTGACAATCGGCCGCTGACATAGTTATGAAAGCATTTCCTTGAATAGATGTTTGTTTTATTGTTTCGCGTTACTCATTGATAATCTTCTTATCTTCGTTATCAGTACTTGCTTCCTTTATATGAGAGTCTGAGAATATTATCGTACCAGTTCGTACACTGCATGACTGTTACCATCTTATTAATATTAAAAAGCAATGGTATGTATTTTCTTGTTGTAACTCGTTTTTTTTTTAAATATCTAACGTATTTTTTCTACATACTCATAGTAAAAATATAATTTCCAAAGTGTTTATAATTATTTAATTAGTTTTTCCTGTGTAAATGCATCAATCTAAGAATATTTACATCTACTCATAATACATTTATATATTAGATTTTCAGATTTAGTTAATTCAGTTAATTTTATTTCCATAGACGAAGTTTGTATTACTCTGTGCCGTGCTCGCTGTCCTGGCAACAGGTACAACGCCATCTATCGTCAAATCCCCATCATCCAGAGCCAGCTTGTACTATGGATATGTCAGCCCTGGTGATAGATTGCTGAACAGGTAATATCCAAACTTAATTTTTTTAATTAACACTGAAGGTTAAGAATTAACACAACTAAGACATACTCAGAGACTTTAAATTGTAATTTTAAGGATGCAAATCTTTAGATTGTGACATACTAGCTTTCGCCCGCTACTTCATCTGCGTAAAATTCAAGAAACAAAGATTAGCCCACATGTTTTTCCAGACTATCCTCTACATCTATAGCAAATTTCATCGAAATCCGTTCAGTCGTTTAGGCTACAAACTTTAATAAACATCCATCCATCTAAACTTTCGCATTTATAATATTAGTATGATATAATTATTTTTTCTAGGACGTACGTTCAGAAATTAGCAATACCTAACACAGTCCAGAGTCAGGATGTGGCTTACCGTGGTAATATCACAACTAGGATCACTGCAATCCAAGTGGTGGAGATTGGATATACTCAGTGGGCGACCCCTTGGTTGATAGCGGGAGGTATTGGCGGGAACAATGTGACAATAAGAGTACAATCCGCTAGGGGCTACGGGTATTATTATGTAATTGATATTTGGGGACGATAGATTTAATACTTTGTAATTTTAACGATCAAGAATTAAAGAATGGCTAATTTATTAATGTTTTTTATTACCTCTTTCCCTGGAATACTCCGAGAAATGTTTTCCTGAGCGCATGACTTATGAGAGCTTAGAAATTAACTTGAGATCATGATAAACATGAAGCTGTGAGTTAAACGACTGCAGTCGAGGACTTTTATTTCCCACCCTATAGGTGATTTATCATTAGACAACCAAAATGCAATAAAGTTGTTAACTAAAGCCCGCTACACATTCTTATTATTACCTGACAATTTTATACGAATAGTCCAATCGTTCACATAATTTTAACAAATCTGGGAACTGGTCAGTTCTGTTTTGCTCACACAAGATAGATTTATCTGTATCTGACTGATAAAGCTGTCAGATAAAACTGAGTTTGTGTATGTCATTATAGTAATTTGTGTGCTAAGTTAGAATTCTTATTTGACATATTATTGTTTGTCAAATTATTGTTTCATTACATTTTTATTTACACTTTGTGGTAAAGATCTGTTTTACTATTATAAAGTGAAAAAATATGCATTTTTGTATATATAGAAATAACTCAAAAAAAACTGGGCCGATTTCAAAAATTCTTTCATCGTTAGAAAGATGACATATCTGTGGATTATACATTTTTTATTTTTTATTTTCAAGGGGACGAAGTCGCACAGCTAGTGTTAAATATACTAGGTAGTAGATTTTAGAAGAAATAAAAATAGTATTCTGTAATAACGTTTTATTAGCTTAAAAACATCCATCATTTTATGTTACAGATATAAAAATTCAAAACAAAGCAGAGTCCTAACCGTCAACAATCGATTCGTTTAACGTCCCCAGAATTCGACTCTATAGTTAAAACCACCTCCTCTGATTGTTTCTAATCTGACAGTAGCGTTTCTCCAGCCGATACCTCCTGAGATTAGTCGTGGTCTAGCGCGCTGGGAGATGCCGACCTCAACCGCTTGGATTGCTGTTATCCTGGTAGTTACATTCCCGTAATATGCCACATCTTGTGATTGAATCGTGTTTGCTAACGCCCTCTTTTGGACTGTAGATCTAAAATTATCACATAGTTAATTAACAATCAAAAGAGAATCTATATAATATAATAAAAATGGAGTGTCTGTTTTGTAATATCAAAATAAAAATTCCAAAGTTCGGGAAGATGATGTATTTGCGATGCTGATAACGAAACTCGCATTTAAATTTTGTCTGTCTGTCTGTCAAGCCGCGTTTGTTCCGGGTAATCTCCGAAACGGCTACGCCGATTTTGACCGGACTTTCACTGAAGGGTAGGTAGTATTTTCGATTTTTCGAATTGTCATATGTACATAATTTACCCGACGTACGGTGAAGGAAAACATCGTGATGCAACCTGCACATATCGGCGAAGAAATTCAAAGATATGTGTGAAGTCAACCAACCCGCAATTGGCCAGCGTGGTTGACTATGCCTAGTCACCCTTTATTAGGGTAGGCTCCGAGCCCCTCGGTGGGGACGTATAGTAAGCTGGTGATGATCCCAAACAATTTGTCATTTATTATGACATTAATGTTAAGAACTATACCTTGCTAATAAACGGTCACCAGCAGCGATGTAACCAAGATATAAATTGGCTCTTGAAGAGGAATAGTCAATTGACGCACTATTAGTAAATCCTGACGCGACAACAGCCAGCACGGTCAATAAGAGCACTAATTTCATCTGGACAAACGGAAAATACAGTTAGCGCAAACATTAAATATCTTAGTTTTTTTTTTTATTTAACATTAGTAGGTTTTTGTAATTTACTAATATTTCCTTTAACCATTCCAACTAAGTTCTAGGCTTGTGCTAGGATATAGTTCACAATAGTCGAATGGCGGGATTCGAACCCTCGACCGCAAGATCGGTAGCCCGTACATCAAACCATTAGGCAATTGGCGCTTAAGTATTAAATATTTACATTGTTTAAAGAAAATCAAGTAAATATAAACGTGACTTTGTAATGATTGATGATGAAATGATGATTTGAACTACAGAATAAAAGTAAGACAAAAGTCACTGGCAAAATATAGGGATAATTGCCTTAAAGCGGGCGAACACCTTAGACTAAGCTATCGCACTACGGTTGTGCGATTGTCGATTGTTTCGCAAGCTATTCAACTGTTTAGTTGCACAACTAAATATCGAGTAGTGGACCTCCATTTAAGGTCATAGGAATATAAGCGAGAATGTTGACAAACCAAATAAAAATAAGAATTAAACAAATTAATATAGAACAATATAATTGAATTTATAAAACATAATACTTACTTTTAATTTACTATTGAACACCAAATCACAATTAAATTTCAACACAAAATGATATTTTAGTATCGGAACGATGTTATATACTGTTCACATTATAGTGATGATAATTGTTATCTGTGAGTCATCAATTTAAAAATAATTAATCAAGTTACTTGGAAGTCCCATAATATCAACAGTCAATCGTATGATAATCTATACTATTATAATAAAGCGTAAACACACACTTCTTTGTTGCCTAAGGTGTCAGCAATTACAGCATATTTTGGAATAATTCTTTTTTTAATAAAAAGCCCTACATTTACGTCACTCTTTAGGATATTTATTTTCACGCCATTAAACTTAGGAGGTAAATATTTTGGATTAAAACCCTAATGTGGGAAAGAGACCATAAGTTGTAGCCAACATCAAGGAACCAAGGTTTGTCATCATGTCATTTTGACATTTGCAATTGATAATTTGACACAAGTAAACAATATAATAAAATTTTCATAATTTTATGATATGCAGATAAAGTCGCACGGGAATAGCTATCTATCTATATATGTAATAAAATTGGAATGTCTGTTTGTAACTAATATCAAAAGAAAAATTCTAGATTTCGGGAAGATAATGAATTTGGGTTGCTGGTAATGAAAATCACATTACAAAAATTTTTGTCTGTATGTCCGCAAGCAGCGTTTGTTTCGGGCAATCTCCGAAACGACTGGGCCGATTTCGCCGGAATTTCACTGGAGGGTAGCTAACATGAATAGGCATATTATAGGTTACTTTGTTTTATTCCGTGCTGTCAAAATGGCGTAACGGGTGGTCCTTTGCGCTAACGCTTGCGGGCGACAGCTCTTGCCATATAAAAATAATTTTATAATTTGTATTCTTGTGTCATCTATAACAACTAAAATATTTTAGTTAATATGTTATGTCATTAGAGTTTCCGATATCACAATAATTACTTTTTAATTTATATTTCTTAATATTAACAAGAATCTTTGTGTTTTAGTTTCGAAAATGGTCATGTACAGTCGTCTGTTAGTTTATTGTACTCTATTAGTTGTAATTCAAGCAACATCAAATAGGACATTATTTAAAATTACAGTCGAGGAAAGTGTTGATGGCAGTGTAGAGAATCAAACGAGTGTAAGTGAGGTTTTGTTTCTACCGATATTCCAAGTTCTTGTTTGTCCAAGTCGGATGATCAAAATTAACGGCAAATGCGTACCACAATACGAATGACGTATCAGTTAAAGTGTGCAACCAATGTATCTATACTATAATATAATAAAGAATTTGTAAAGATTTTTGTATTTTAAATAACTCAAAAACTTTTGGGCCAAATAAAAAAAAAATACAGAAATTCTTGCAGCATTGAAAAGCTATCTAACCACTGAGTATCATAGGTTATGTTTTTTACTTTTTTAAATTCCACATGGACGAAGTCGCCAACATTGGCTAGTTTATCTATACAATGTGGTAAAGTGTATTAAAATATGGTAAAGCAAGATAAAAATGGATATAAAACGCAACGATAAAAAAACTGTATGTCAGAACAGATATTATGCGAAGAAATTTATATAAACGTGATCTTCTGCTGATGAATTAAGATATACTTTCATCTCTATTTTGTCAAAGGAAATGAAAGGGACAAGGATATATTTTTGGAATGATGTATACGCTATAAAAATCCACGGTATTATATCTTGAGAAGATATCTGATATGATAAACTAAATGAATCAACGGAATTTGAGAACCGGATGAAACTTCTTGTAAACAAAGTGATAGGAGAATGATAATTGTAAAAATTTATAAGAAATTATAATTGATCAATGATAACCAATCTATTCAATTGAAACGATTTGTTTAACTAAAAGATAAGATGGTAAATATCAAAAGAATGTGTTTCGTTTTTTTAATAGCCTTAGAAATGCAAACTTAATTTAATTATTGTATTTCGTATTACGCCCTCAATTCGTCGCACTTAAAAAATAATAATTGTTTTTCTTATATTAATTTATGGTTCCTTAAGAAATGTTTTAAAACCTTACACATGTATTTATAACCTAAAATATAAGACAAACGGAATAGTAATAACAATAATAAAAGGAGATTTCGAAAAATTACATTGTTTTTTATTTATTTCTAGATACCATATATTTTGAAAGCAAAGACGAATGTTACTTTATTACTTGTTATTTCTACGGAACCCGCGCGTTTTGTAACCAACTTATTTGCCATACATTTGAAGGTTATAAAAGGTGCTTTTTAGTAAGATCTGTCATTAGTGTCAATTAAAATGGGTTCTTTACCACTACTCGTACAAGTTCTTGAAATTATTTTCGTTATGTTTTTAACATCAGTGACTTCTCTACCATTCGTAAGAGAACCAAAAGATAATGTATTCGTAAACGTAAATGATTTAATTTATATAATCTATAATTCACGTACCACAGATGATGTAAATGTTATTCCTGATTTATGGTCACAAATTAACGTTGGATTATGTTTACGGCAAATACTGGCATATGAGAAGAGTTTATTGCATTAAATATTGTGTTTGTGCATTTCTTGTTTGGTTTTAAACAGTTTTTCGAAAATAAAATGCATTTTTAACGAAGTGTGTATAAAAATAATTACCGATAAACATTTGCTTTTATAATAGTTTTGTGCTATTTAAAAAATATTAATTAAAAATATTACTCACATCAGGGCTGACGTCGATGAAGTTGGCACTTGAGACAAACTCCTTCAAGAAACCATCCAGTTCAGTTCCCTCGATGTAGCCGTTACCTGCATATTAAAATGATTTAAAAAATCTAACATACTAATTACAAAATAGTTCTATTATTACCCCAAAAAAGAGAGCACAATAAGAAAATTCTATTTCAATAAAATATTATTAATATTTGAAAATAAATATGTTCAAGAATAACATAGGCTACACATTTATCCCAAAAATGCATTATGCAATAATTTAAATTGTTAAATACATACGTCTTAACCGATAGTAAGTATAGTCAAACAAGGATGTGTTGCCCGATATGAGATGCTATCGGTTGGTTCTGCCAGTATATGTACAACCTACATGGACATAGAAAATGGCATAAACCATCCACCGAGCCTAATAATTAGTCAGCTAAAATTGTTGTAGATAAAATAAGAGATTTTAGTCTCATTATACGAATTATAATTAATGCCTTATCTGACATATTATCTATAAGATTTTTGCTATCCTTATTCCTTGCTTTAAGTCATTGAGGACGAACTGGTTTCCCAAATCCTATTAACTAAATAATTAACGTCGGCTCAAGTCGGCTTTTGTAAGGGATTTTCTGTCGTAAACCGTAATAGGGATGCCGGGATTATTCTGATTAATTTAAATCTCTTTATCATTAAACTTCACAAGGAATTTGATCTCGAGCCATGAAGCTTCGATTGCTTTCATGTTGGCCAACAGTAAGCGTAGAGTCCAGGATAGAGTAAGCTAGCGGCGCCCTATGGACGCTGTCTGCTTCATAATAGGACATTCGGCCAAATATTAAAACGACATTTTAAATAACAGCGTCTTCAGTTAGGCCACGATGAAACTCTTAATACCATTAAAATTTTGTAATAAGGCTATCAGATTGTAAGCGGCGTAGTCACACGAGATAATTATGCGTTTTGTTGCCCCTTAGGAGGGTAATGTTTATCGTGAAGATGTGTATTTTTGTCCGTTCACTTGTAACCACATATCATACTTCATACTAATATTATAAATGCGAAAGTTTAGATGGATGGATGGATGAATGGATGTTTGTTAGAGTTTGTATCCTAAACGGTTGAACGGATTTCGATGAAATTTGGCATAGATGTGGAGGATAGTCTGGAAGAACACATAGGCTATTCACATTTGTTTTTTTCAATGCCACGCGGACGGAGTCGCGGGCGAAAGCTAGTAGTTTATAAAAACGGACAATTGAAGTTTGGTTTGTGTTTCGGTTTATTTATTTTAAAATGTTAATTCCTACATGAAGCCTATTTGTTATTTTAGTTAGTAAAAAATGGTCAAAGTCATAGTTTGTCTTTACTATCTTTTGTAATGCTTAAAACTTAATATGTTAAATTAAATTTAATATGTTTACATTTTTATGAAAAATTACAAACACGTGCAAGTAATTTTATTACTTGTATTAAAATTGGTCATGCAAATTCTTTTCCGTTTCTCTTCGACGCTTAATTAAGGTTAATTGAGCTCGAGACTGAATTAATGTCGGCTCCGGCAACTATCAATTGAGATTAAGCGATAGTTAACTGAATACTAAATTTAACTAACTACCGTTAATTTGCCTTGGTTAAGAACGAGAGATAAACCGTAAATTATTTTAGATTAAAATACAAAAACATTTTTTTGAATAAATTCCCTCCATTTTTGATTTTACAAAATATTTTTGTATTTTTATTAACGCCTACAATCAATGTCATATATTGTGCGAGACTTGTAAATTGCTATTAAATAAATAAAGGAACAAAGAGGCTATGTATTGCCTCATTTGAATAGAAATGGGGACATATATCCCGGCAAATGTTGCCAGTATGCGCCGTAGCTAAATAAATAAACCTTAACGAAAAAGCTTTTACATTTTTTCGGGCTATTTTTACTTCACATTGTTTGTCAACGTGGGTATTTTCTTTATTATTCTGGTCGTGCAAAATGTAATGAAATATACTTCGTGTGTTACCATTGCCGATATATCTGACAAACGTATTGTCATCTCTTTCATTTTTATTGAAATAAACAGAGGAAGCTCTATGTTTATGTTCATGTTTTCGGTAGTGAAAATCCATGATTATGTCTAGAGAATAAAATTAGGTTCCCATTTAGGTTCGAACATGTTTCTGTAAATGTAAAGAGCTATAGTTCAACACTTAGTATGTTTACGACAAGTTTTCAACGTTGCGTTTGCGAGCGTCAAATAAATTCCAACTAAAAAAAACCTTGGCGTACTGTAATTTAAAAACATCAAATTAATTCTTATTTTGTTTCATATATTTTCAACAAAATATTAGAGTAGCGATGCCTAATGATATCCCTTTGTCAAAGTCAAGAGGCGGGACGGACACAAGTGGTCATTCAAACTGTCGTCCAGATGTAATATTTCATATTTTCAAGAAACTTGGTAACAAATATAATCATATATATCAAATAACAATCATAAAAAGAATAAAAGCACATTTTTCTTTTTTTTAAAGTAAGTAATGGGACAACAGACCGTGTAACTTTAATTTTCCACTGCCGAAACATAAAATACAATTTTTTTCTGAGACATAATTGGTTACCCAATTAGAGATAGCACTACGGTTTCTATAAACTAAAATCCGCATTTCATTTGACAGGCTATAAGCCTTGAGATTCTGTGCCTATTTGAGTTTCTCCATTTTGGCGCTGAAGGTAACGGTTTGAGACTAAAAATGTAACTTTAATTGTCGCATTTAAGAACGGGCGCTTTACTAAACTATTGCACAATCGTTGTACTATTATCGATTGTTTCTCAGTCAATTCAATTGTTTAGTTACATCACTAAGCATCGAGTAGTGTCCGCACCTCTTTATAAGCTCATAGAAATCAAAGCACGACTAAAGAATTATGAGAAAATTTAGTCTCTTACGCAGCAAAAGCTGTTATATCAAAACAGCCACTATAGAGGCCAGTATTTGTATAATAAGACTTAATAAACGTTGAATATTTAATTCTAATTGGAAGCTTTGGTTAAAGTAGGTTAGTAAATGAGAATGCCAGCATTCAGTCTCTGGAGAATGCTCCGGCAGACTACAACAACTAATATCTTTGGTCGTTAGTTACGTTAGTCTCTTGTTTATTGTATTGCTCCAGATAATTATTTTATCCGACTTATTGGAGAGGTGATTTTCTATAGATTTAAGGGTTTAATCGATTTGTACATGATTTCTGACGTAGTCACGTTTCTTAGTTTTCAAAGATTAATTATTTTTTGTATGGAGGGGTACACCGGTAGTAGACCTAGAAAGTGATGGATGTATTGCGTGAAAGGAGACATGATTAAGAAGGGAGTGATGACTGAGATGACGGATGATAGAGTTATTTGGAGGACGAAATCCCGGTGCACCGACACTGCAATGATGAATTATATTCTGTATTGTAGTTAGCAAATATACTACAGATTTTATTGTAATTATCTTATGAGGAAATGAATAATTTGTAAAGAGAACTTTAGTTATGAGTGTAGAGATACACCAGTAGAGGTAGGTCTAGAAAGAGATTGTGTGAAAGGTGACAGGATCAAGACGGAAGTGACATCTGAGATTACAGGCAGACAACTTGGAGGACATAAACCTTTTTACTGGCTACTAATAATTTAACTAATGTAAAAAACAATACTAGAATTAGTGCCATGCAAAATAAAAACTAGTTAGTTATATATATCTAAGTAGTTATAGTTTCCGTTTATACAGTGTTTTATTTATTCAAGAATTTCACTATATTTCCATAATAAAATACAAACATTGCCTGAATCTACTATCATCCCATTCCGTTGTTTTCCGTCACAGTGGAATTTCATTATTTGTTTTATTCCGCATTAATCTTTTTATTCGCTGTGTTTCGAAGCAGAAAGTACGATAAGTGCGGGAATGCGAATGTTAGTTGAATAATAATTTTGTACATTTTACTTGTAATTTTACTCGGAAAAACATTTTGATTTCGAATAAATATATATAAATAAAATATAAAATAACAAATAACCTTAATTAACAAAAGGGATCTCGACTTAAATTACCACCAGTTACAATTTTAAATTTTCTTTTACCATTTTATTGTTTTTTTCCATTGTTTGTTTAATATTTGTGTAATATAGCAAAACACACAGATGTTCTTCTGTTTTTTTTTGTTTTTCTTTGTCTATAATATATTAAGTATAATTAATTTGGTTGTGAATTTTGTACATGCAATTGGTGTATCCTATAAATAAATAAAATAAGTATAAATGTTAGTTAAAATAAGACATCACCGTACAGTTTTCTGTCTAAATTCTCTAATTACATTTGCAAGCAACTTTCGTATATACGAAAGCTTATGCTGACATCTCGACGTATTCAAGTCACGCTGAAAGCTTTCGTGCTTCGAGTCATTACATTAAAAGCTGTTACTGAAACTTCAATAGACCCTGTATTTTGTCTATATATCAAAATATATACATTTTGAAGTATACATTCATTGATGAAGTGACAATTGAAGTTACGTCTTGGAGTATGGAGTACATTACTCTCTATGGAGATTACATAACTTGGGGATTACATAACATTCTTTGGGGTTTTAATGATTGTCAACGACAAAAATTACTAGTAACTCAATATCTAAACTAATTAAAGAATGAAATAACTCAAAAACTACTGGGTCAATTTCAAAAATTCTTTCACCATTAAAAAGCTACGTTATCGCTGAGTAACATAGGCTATATTTAGTAATTTCACGTGAAGTCTCGAGCGACATCGAGAATTAGTTTTAGATATGTATCATAGGTATTTCGTACAAAGAATTCTTTTGTAACTTGTTTGAGAATCTTTAAAACGATTGCAAGATACCTAAACAAAAGGCGCTATTTGTCGCAGAACTTTTGAAACGAACTAAGTTAGAGTCGCTGTCGGCATTTTAAATGAATCTGATATCACGAGACTGTCTACAAGTCTGATTAAATTACTTTGTACATATTTCAAGTTAAGTATAATTTGTAATATAATATATTTACTACATAGTTATGTAGTAAAAATATTACTTACTGGTTTTTGCCATCGCCTTCGTCCGTGTAGTATTAAAAAATCGAAAGTTGGTAGCCTAAACTGGTTAACGGATCTCGATGACTATGGCATAGATGTAGAAATAGTCTGGAAAAACATATAGGCAACTTTTTTTAATTCCACGCGGACGGAGTTGAAGACGAAAGTAGTAGTTACATACAAATGTTTAAAAATATAATCTTAGAGACAGAATCTTTATAGTTAACAATTAAAGTTTTCCAAGTTAAAATTATTGAGAGAGAGAGAGTTTGAAAAATAATAAGTGACCATTACGCGCTGGAACACGCCTGCTAGACTGATTCCAAACTAAATTGTTACAATACTTAATTACGAACTGTTGCCTGCGACTTCATCCGCGTGGTATTAGAAAACATACAAACCATATGAATTACAAAAAACTACGTATCCCTCGGGAACCGGACATGTCTCGGGGATGAAGCTTATCCCATGTGTACTCCAGACTTTGTTTTATATCTGTGCCAAATTTCATTAAAAATATGTTGAACCGTTGAAGAATGATCGAGTAAATATTAAAAAACTAAATTAATGAATCCCACGGGAACCGTAACTATTCCCGGGATAAAAAGTAGCCTATGTGTTCTTCCAGACTATGCTCTAAACCTGTGCCAAATTTCATGGAGATCCGTTCAGCCGTTTAGGCTACAAACGCTAACAAACATCCGTCCATCCATACATCTAAACTTTCGCATTTATAATATTAGTAAGAAGTAAGATTGTTGATTTACAAAATGTGAATTTCTAAATAAATTAACAGACAAGCTTTTAGTTTGATGCTTGATTAAATTTTATACACAAAAGCTCCTTGCGGTTTTCAGTCCTGAAAGCCTTTCAGTACCTCTCTACGAATTAGACAAGTACTTTGACGTCTTCATATTTTGTGAAAGGTGAGTGACGCTGAAAGGTAAAAGGTTGGATTGGGGAAAGTGAGTACTACAAATACAATACAGGTTATAAGACTGTCGGCTGATGTTCTGAAATTTTCAAGCACAAATTATAAGAAAAAAACCTACCACTGTTATTATAATATTTTGAAAATCACTTACCATCCCTGTCGTAATGACTCCAGACCTCCATAAATTGGTTTGCGGAAAGCTTCTTCAACTCTCTAGAGTCAGGGTCTCTGAATTGACGCATAAAGTTGTTCGCCTTATCGAAGTTTAACTTCTTTGATGATGTGGAATCAAAACTCATTGTTATAGCAATTCAATATTCTTTTCGTAAAAAAATATATATTGTTACTCTGTTAATTTATTTCTTTATGAAAATATGGTTTTATGATATATTAAATGTGCTTTGTTGCTACATTCAGGTATTGGCTTGAATTATTGTCAATGGGTTTCTGTATGTTAAAAAATCACTTATTCATAGTTTTGTAACACTCCGCCTTCCGGTTAATCTGTAACAAAGAGAAATTATACTAAAAATGTGCATAACTATAACACTCTTTATTTAATATTAGCTGTTCCTGTGCGGCTTCATCTGCATAAAATTATAAAAACTTTATTTTATTGTTTACATTTGTCAAATTGACAATTGCAAATGTCAAAATTACCGTTACTATAATAACTTTGCGTCCTTAATGTTGGCAGCTTGTAGTTTATAGTCCATTTCGAACGTGATTATTTTTTTATAGTTTATTTAGCCCCTAAGAATAGCGTGGAAATATATAGCCTAAAGCATGTAGTAAGTGTAGGGCTTTTTTTTGAAGAAAGAATTATTCAAAAATATGCTGTGATTGCTGACATCCTGCGCCACAATGTAGTGTGTGTTTACGTTTTATTATAATAGTATAAAAGTATAGATTGTCGTAGATATAAAGTATTTGGAGTCGAGACTGTATCTTGTTAAAAATATTCCCTTTAGCATTATGTTTGGTGACTTATAACCTCAAAATTTTGTCATTTTATTTTACTTCTTGTTTTTCTCGAAAACTGGCAACAAAAATACAGCCATTCGTAGATAAATAATTTAACATTAATAATCTTTTCCTAGAAATCTAGATTACGAAAAAACACGTTAAACCTTGAAAGTATTATTGGAAACTTTACCTATAAGTTACAGTTTTATGACTGTCTCGTAATATATGAAGAACTTTTGTCTTTCTTTGCCAAATCTCTAAAGTTTTTATGTAATCATTTTATTTCATTTTCCTTAACATTTCTTACGTAAATATGATTAACAGTAATTATGAAATACAGTTAATTTGATAGACATGTTTGTTAAAACGAAAGAAAAATTTTGCGTTCTGTTAAAAAACACAGCTATATTTATTTCAATTATTTAAATGAATCTTTTGTTTTTAATAAATCATCCAAACCATTTTTAAGTCTTATTAAAAGTGGAAAAAAACTAGACTCAATTTTCCTTCACTAATATGAGAAGAAAATATTTCTTTGTTTGTTTGTGTGTACTCTCCGTGTAAACTCAAAAACTTCTATACCAATTTTATTATTATTATTTATTAATTGTTTAACCATTGAAAAGCAATTTTGTTAGCGACTAACTCAGTCTATAACATTTTCTATTACCTACATTTCAGTACAAAAACGTATAAAGAAAATCGCTATATGCTAATCTCAGTGAAGATTTCGTTTATTTCGTACCTTCGCTTCAGATTCTGAGCACGTGTGAGATTGTACCGTGCGAATTGGATTGGAGAAAATTACTTGATAGAAATGTAAACAACGGACGAATTTAAACATTCAGCTCGAAAGAATGGTAATACTTGTCGTGGAGATTCAAGCTTTTTTTTTCAAATACGAATAAAGAATGAAAAAAAACCTTATCTCTACTGTACTACAAAGAGGAAAGATTTGTAATTTTGTATGTAACATAACTCAATAACTACTGGACCGATTTCTAATACTCTTTTACCATTAAAAAGCTGTATGTATTAAAATAACTTAAAAACTTCTGGGCCATTTTAAAGATACTTTCACCGTTAGAAAGGTAATTTTTCTGTGAGTAACAAGGCATTTTTTTAATTTCCCGCGAGCGAAGTCGCAAGAATTAACCTGCAAAAATCATAACCGTTGCTTACCTAATGTATATTTTACCATAGATTTTCACAGCAATCGAAATTTCAACGGTTAAAGATCTAACGAAAATATTTACTTAAACGATATTTTCTTAACAAATAAATAGTACAATATTATCTCGACCCTGACTATATCATAAATTTCACGAAAGTAATTTGGTGCAAATTCTCAATATTTCCTTCCACTTGAGAAAACGTTGAGGACGCAATACGGAGAGTTCGGCTACGAGGGCTTAGCTCTAAAACAATGTCGTATATCACACGCGCGTGCTCGGATAACCTCACAACGATATCGAACATTTTTATCCATAGACTAATAAATTCTATTTAAAAAACACAATAGCCTCTACAAACCGATTCTCTATATTCCATTGTAATATAATATACCTTATTATATACTAGTTTTCACCTGCGACTTTGTCCGCGTAGAATTTAATAAAAACAAAAGTAGGCATAGGCTTAGTTTTGTTTATTTCGAAAACTCGTAGTTTTTTGAAAAAGAACGTAGAGGATACTCTGAAAGAGCAACTATGTGTTATGTTTATGCCAAATTTCATCAAGATCCGCTCAGCCGTTTAGGCTACCAACTCTAACAAACGCATCCATCCATCGATCTAAACTCTCGCATTTATAATATTAGTAAGAAGTAAGATAATTTCCGATATCTATAATTCGGATAATAATCTTATAATCCTGTCTTTAAATCGTGTATTGTTGTCTTGACAAAAGGTAAAAATGGGGTTTGTTGTAAGTGAAAATTTTTACATAGTTTTTATTCACAATTCAAAAAAAGAATGAAACACTATCTATAGAGTTTCAGTATGTTTTATTATATGTATAGTTTTAGAAGTGACGTACCATGTTTGGTTAACGAATATTATAATTACAAAGTCCTTGGTATTTTAATATAAATTGTAGACCTTTTCCCGTGATTACAATAAAGGTTACATTTTTATCAAATTAAATCCTTTAAACACGCACAATAAAAACACGAACTTTCCACAATTAATTTAAATAACATCAACTCTATACTAATATAATAAAGCGTAAACACACACTACTTCGTGGCGTAGGATGTCAGAAAACATAGTATATTTTTAAATAATTCTTTCTTCAATAAAAAGCCCTACACTCATGACATGCCCTATTTTCACGCTAAAACTTAGGGGGTAAATAAATTGAAACAAACCTTCATCTGTGAAATAGACCATAAACTACAAGCTGCCGACATTAAGGAAGCAAAGTCATTAAGGTAACAGTGATTTTAACATTTTTTTTATAACATAAGGTGGCAAACGAGCAAGCGGCCACCTGAATCTGCCAAAATGGCAAAGCGACCGCTGCCCTTAGACATCCGCAATTGCAAATGCCTTGCCTACCCTTAACCAACAGAGGAGGAGACGCACATAAAGAGGATATTTCTCCTTCCTATGCATCTTCTCTACCGTCAAATCTACTTTTCAATTGAGAATTTGACAAATGTAAACAATAAAATAAAGATTTTATAACTTCATGCGGATGAAGCCGTACGGGAACAACTAGTTACATTATAAAAAAGGTATCACGGTAAAAGGAAAATTAAGCTTTAAACAGTGTTAAAATTATGAACGATGACTCTCCATTCCTTTTATCGCCTTCCCGCAGTGAAGCTCATAAAAGCCAAGGGCTTTAATATAACAGGCGGGTTTTTGGTGAGTTGTAAAAACGCCCTTCCGTTTACAGTAAAAAGAAACGAGGCCATACGAGTCCTTAATTTTCTATTAAGCTTGAGCGATATTCAACTGGTGGTCCGTTTGATAAACAAACGATAAGGGCAATTTGATTCCATTTGACACATTTTTATTGTTGAATATGGTATAACAGTCGGTTTCCACTGCTGAAACATATTGTTATGTTTAACTACAATAACTAGAATAGGACAATCTTTTTTCACGTATTGTCTCAAAAACAAGCTTAGCAAAAACCGTAAATTTAGCGACCACGGGATCTTAATCTATACGATGCTGGAAAATTCTTTTTCTGAATTGTATATATTAACTAGCTTTCGTCCATGACTCTGTCCGCACGAAATTAAAAAAAAAGCAGGTAGCCTATGGGTTCTTCCAAACTAATCTCTACATGTATGCCAAATTTCATCGAGACACCTTTAGCCGTTTAGGCTAAAAACTATAACAAACATCCATCTAAACTTTCGCATTCATAATATTAAAAACATCAACCTTGATTAATAGAGCGTTGAAGCTGTTTATTACAAAATGATATGAATTGTACACAAAGCTTTTGCTGAAATTGCTCTTTGAATTTGTCTGGGAATCTTAATTGAAGTAATGTAACCCGAGTTGGTTCGCCTCAGCAGCCGCAGAGTCTTAATAGAGCGACTATTCAGAGAGCAGAAGGAAGATGGGGTGATAGGGCTGTCAACTTTCAATAAACCTCTACTCCCAACTCACATAGATCGACTCACTTAGACAACTCTTGACTCCTTAGTGAACAATAAAGAAACAACAACAAAAATACACTATTAGATAGGAAAGAAAAGTGGATTCAAAGTGATGAAAAATGTATCAAAACGTAAAATGTCCTTTTCTGTGTCCTCGTCTGTCGATTAAAAGTGGACAACGCAACTGTTAGATTTTGAAATGATGCAGATGTCTAGGCAGCAATGTAATAGCTCGTTCGTTTACATTTTACTTCTAAAAAACCAGAGGTGGCAGCCCTAGAGGGGATGGCTTTCGAGACGTTGATCCTTGTTTAATTATGCTCTGTACTCAAATTGAGCGAACACAGACTAAAAATGTAAGTATAAAAATCCTTTAAGTACTTATTTTATTTCGTAAGAAATCTTGTCACTGGCTATTTGAGACTTTAAAAAGTTGGGCAGATTAAAAAATGTCCATTCTTATCTATTTTTCATTTCATTAAAGCTGTAGAATATCGCAATTTTGAATTATAACGGGTTATAAAATTTACACGTAACATACACGTTTCAATTTATTCATAGCTTTTCAGCATAATAAGTTGGAAAAGCACTTTCGTTAACCTTACTTAGCTCCGAAGTGTAGATTCAAGTTAATCATAAAAGCTTTCCTTGCAAAATATTGAAAAGGAATTCACGTAAAGAATTTTTAAAAGCCTCATTGAAGTCATTTCAAAATTTGTTTTTAATAAGCGTGAACAATAATTATTTCTGCTACCTTATGGATAAGTAGAATATACATTCACCTTAATTTACATTATTTGTTTTCTTTTTCTAGTAATTTAAAAGCAATGCCTCCACATTATCGTCACAATTTTCATATTATTATTTTGAAAATTTGGGTCTCAACATTGTATCACTTTCATTGTTCTTCACAAAACAGAGCATACAATATTTATTAACTATCTAGCTGTTGCCCGGGACTTCGTTCACGCAATATTCAAATA